TTAATTTCAATAATTATTGGTTTCTTCACCCCATTATCACAATTAATCCATTTACGAAGAAAAAGTGAAAAGTTTAATTCATTAAACTCAATGATGATGAAACCTTTTCCTCTTTCTTTTCTAACCATTGTCCTGTTAATTTATTTATTATTGTTGATCTTGTAGAAGCCTATATAAAAAAACCTTAAAAAAATATTTATTTTTAGTTATTCAGTTTTCATCCAGATTTTGCTTATCTAAAAAAAAATTCACCGATTTATAAGTATTTTTTTTATCATTTTATTTAAACTCTTAAGATTTATTAATAAATATAGCCACTAATTTACAATTTTCTTTTGCAAAATCCATCAATTGAAAGACCTAGTTTACAAATTCGAAAAGTATTGAAAGAACCTGCTCGTAAATATATTGATTTGTGTTGCAAAATTCTCAACCCATTTCAATTCTTTATTATTTATTTATTTTTTGGTTGCTCATGACAAACGTTCACATTTGTTTTTAAAAAGCTTAATATTTCACATGCTAATAAAATAGGTATGTACAAATATATTTTAATGTTTTTAATTGTTGTTGTTGTTGAACTATAGTAACATGTGAGACATTATCTAGTAATATTTAATTTGGATATAATATTTATAATATAAATTTATAAATTTTAACTAGTATTTTTTATGTATGTCTAATCTAAATCAAAATTATTTAAATAATACAATCATATATCATCATATCATATATAATATTATATTATAACATATATGTTACACGATAAAATTTGCTTATATGTAATTTTATGTGGACAATCTATATTATTGACACATAATATCATAACATATAGATCTATAAATCTATAGTTAGACTTAACAAATTGATGGAGTCACCACAAATCTTTTTTATTATATGTGATTGGTCACCTAAGAAATCTATCATTTTAAAGAGCTCCTAAACTTGACTAAGGGTCCATAAAAGAATAAGTTAGGGTCTATTAACCAGAATAAGATTCAAGGGTTCGGTTACATATGAAGAAGGTTATAGCACCCCCATATACCCATCCGAATGATGATACCATATTATTTTAAATTTATCTTAGGGTCTTGAGTCTAATAGTTTCAAATTTTTATGTTAAATATTGAAAATAATTTATAAGATTTTTTCATCAATCTGATAGCATTTTTAAAAATATTTTTTTACCTCAATAGTATTTAATGATCTTATTTATTTTCTTGAAGAAGCTTCGTTATCGAAAAAAAGCTTATTTATTATTTTTTTGTTGAAAATATATCTAATTATTTCACCATTTTTGCCAAATTAAAAACATATTTTTTTGAATTTTTAAATTTTTCATAATTTGGGTCTATTTAGAAATTTTTTTAATTATTTTTTTATTTCTAAATTTTTCACCATGGGCCTATTTAGAAATTTTTTTATTATTTTTTTTGAAAGAAAATAATATAACAATTATTTTTATTTAAAATTTCATTTAAATTCTTCCACCATTTATGATAAATTTAAAGAAAAATTTTCATTTAGAGATTTCTTAGAAATTTACAATTTAAAATTTTTAAGAATCTCATCATGGGATGATTATCAAATATTTTCAACTCAAATTTTTATTTGAAAAAGAATATAATTTCTTTTATTGAAACTTCATCTAAATTATTTTACCATTTGAGATAAATTTAGATAAAATTTTATCACCTAGAAATTTCTTAAGAATTTACCATTTGAAATTTTTAAGAATCTCATCTTTGGGTAATTTGTATTTAATTTCAAAATTTTTATATTTTTTCTCTTCTTTTTCTTTGTTTTGAAAATAAATATTAATTATTGTTGTTAAAACTTTATCTAAATTATTGCACTATTTGAGATAAATTTAGATAAAATTTCTCACATATGAATTTTATAGAAATTTACCATTTGGAATTTTTATAAATTTCATCATTGGATAATTAATATTTATTTCTAAAATTTATTTTTTTTTATAAAATCAAATCATGCAAAAATTCTAAAAAAAAAATAAATAAACACATAAAATAAATAAATAAAATACAAAAAAAAAACCAAAAAATGGCTCGACTTGTGGCTAGAATCGGCTCGACTCGAGACAGAAACCATGGTTCGAGGAACGTGGCTTGAAGACTTGGCGCGGCTCAGGTCGGCTAAGAGAATAAGTTAGAACGTGGGTTAACAGAATTGGATTGGCGCTCAGGTCGGGTTATCCATTGGCAAAAAGCGCGAATCATGGGGTTTATTAAATTTCAAAACGACATCATTTTAGCAGAGTATATAAAATTAAATCTGACCCTTTTTAGCATATTCCCCTTCTTCCCTCTCTCTTTTCTCCCTATTTTCTCTCTCTCTCTAGCAACCCAGAATCCGGTTGAATATTTCACCAAAAATTGGAAAAACACGCAAAAAACTAAAAAATGTAGCCAAAAAATTTGTCGAAATTTGAAAATTTTTCAGAAAAAAATTGCCAAAATTTTGAAAACAAATTCTAAAAAATCCTAGGATTGTCGTAACACCTTTCCCTTGCTTCTACTTTCTAAACACCTTTTTTTTTTCTTTTTTCATTTTCTCTATGTTTTTTAATTTTGGCTAGGGTCTATATTTATAGGACAGAATTCAAAGCCGAATAAAAGTCTCAATTTCCTCTTGACTTTTAGTCTCATTCAACCTCTTCCAATCCATCCCAAACTCTTCAATCCAATTTTTCACAAATTCAACTACTTTTTTTGTTTTTTATTTTTATTATTTTTTATTTTTTAATTATCAAAATTAATCTTGTAGACTCTTAAACAGATTAGAGTGTCTATATACAAGATAGTTTTTTAATTGTAATTAGCTACCGAATAGCCTTATTATTTAAATTTAAAAGATATTTCAAATCTTAAAAATCATTTTTATCCAAATTTTTATGCTAAATAGTTTATAATCTTTATCTTCATTTAAATGAGATAAGATTACAGGGATCATTTCAATTATAAAAATAATAATTTATTTAAAAATAACTTGAGTATTTTTTATATAAAACATGTACTTGTTCTTCATTTTGCATTTAAACTATATAAGTACGTTGTAAACAATTTTGAAGTTTTGGACTTCATTTATTTATTTGTTTATTATTATTATTATTATATATATTATGTAAAGTGTGGATACATTTAACTATTGCATTTTTATTATTATATTTGTAATATACATTTTTTAATATTTTTATTCTAAATTAATTGATTTTTGTATAATAGTCAGTAAAACCAAATGCATTTATGAAAGATCTGTATTGTTATAATTTCTCCATATGCAGTAAATATATAACCAACTTTCACTTTACATTATTTTTAAGTGTATAAATTAAGTGTTACATAAAAGACTTTCATTAATAAGTTAAATAAGATCATAGGTCTACAGTAACATATAATACTTATAGTTATTTTTAATTTGCATTAAAATAATAATTTTTTTAATGTTTTTATATGTCCTATGATATATAAAATTCCTTAAGAAAATAATTAAGACTAAAATAGATAAAAAAATATATTTTATATGGATGGTGAATTTAAACTTTGGTGTGGGGTTAGATTGACATTATTTAGATAAGAAGATAATAATATATGACAAAATATTCATTAACCAAGTAATTAATTTTTAATTAAAATATTGATAAATTTAAAAACAAATTAAATTATTGATTTTTTTATTATAAATAATTAAAAGAAATATATACTCCCTAAATTTAAAATCACATATATATCTCTTCTATGTTTTTAATTTTCAAATACTTTATTCTTAGTTTCTTTTTAAATTCGAAAAACACATATCACTTTAAGGCTATTAATAATTAATAATATATGATACATCATTTTTTTCAAAATTCAATTTTCCTTTAAGATTTATATTGTTTTTGTAATTTTATTGTTTATTTTATTTAGATGATTTCTTCTTTGACATTATTTTATTCAATTCTTTTTTGTTTGTCACATTATTGATATTTTTTCAGTATTTTGATCAAAATCATAATTTAGTAAAGGTGGTCAATACTTTTTTTATTATTTAATTGATCATTCAATATGTTCTCCTAAAAAACTAATATCATATTTATATTCAATTGTTTTTACTTTGTTATCCATATTTAATATCTCTTATTTTTCACATTTATTTTCAACATATTGATCAAGATAATAATAGTAAAGTTTAATTTTCTTATGACACGTTAATTAATTGAATATATATTTATATTTTATATTTGTCATAAAAGTTTAAACTTTGATATAATTATAAGAAAAATATAAATTTCGCAGTATAAACACACATTTAAATAAATGAAATAATTCATACATTGGTTCACAAACTAATTACAAAATAATATAAAAAGCCGACAACACAGCGTGAAACATAACACTAATATATATATATATATATATATGTATATATTTATGAATTGATCTTGAATGCCGACATATTGAAGTTGTAGAGTTTTCTTCATGAGAACATATAATGGTTAAAGTCTTTTTTTTTAAATTACAAAAAATTATAATTGTAATAAAATTTTATATTCATATAATTAATTATTATATCATAATTAAATTATAATCACAAAAAAAATTAATTAACAAATTACAACATAATTAAACATGTTAATCTGCACACAATATAAGATAAGATGGAAGAAAAGAGGATTGCCTCTCCTTATACGGTAAGTTGAAAAGTCAATGTGAATAGGTCTGCATACTCGTGATCTATGAATAAAGGTCTTCCACTCTTTTGCCAATCATCATGGTTATGTTGATAATAATGTGCTAGAAATAGTACTACTGATTTGAAACTCTTCATATCTTTAGTTAATGATATCAATTTATAACTAACATTACAATACCCATGAAAAATTAAAAAAAATTCAGAAAAAATCCAAAATTAAGCCTGTATATCGATAATTTAATTAACAAGCAGGCCACTCATCATATATATATATATATAATATAAATATAATATAAATGATCAAACTTAATTATCAAATAGAAGGAGTAATTTTGTTTTCTTCAAGGCTGCAGGAGAAATTAAAACAGAGAAATTCATTACTCAGATCCCAGCTAACTAATCAAAAGGGCGAACATTAATTAATTTGTTCAAACCCCAGGGCCAAGATGATGATCAGAGGAAGCAGTTACCACTTGGGCTTGACCCTGATCCTGACCCTGAGCCATCTCAGTAGCCTGATTCATTTGTTTACGAGGGTCCAAGTGCTTCATCATGCTAACATATGTCCCATAGACGTAGGAACAAAACCCCCACCCACACATCACAGTGGACACTGCTTTCACCCCACCAAACTCCTCCTTGACCAATACCCCTCCCAACACGTTCATGCCCAGCAATGCTGTCATGCATATCCCTCCCGTCAGCGAACACGTCAAGAAAACCGTTCCCGCCGTTCCCATAAAGCACAGCTGCCAAGTCACCACGTTGGTCACGACCGTCGCCCAGTACACGCCCTCCCCCTTGTCGAACACCTCCCTGCTCTCTCTTTTCATCTCCGCAAATCCCCCGTCGCACGCCATCCCCACGCTTGCTAATACCGTCGCCGATATCTCCATCACTAGCTGCATCTCCATCACCATCGCATAACAATACACCTTCCTGTATGTCATCTCCACAATTGGTAGATACAGAGCAAAAAGCAATCCCGCTCCTATTGTTGCCAAAAACCCTATGAAGTAATTCGCTCGCGTCAGGTCCTGCGGTCTGTCATGACTGGATCCTAGGGCTAGGAGGATTGAGCTCAACGTCAATAGGATGACGCAGTTGAGGTTCATGAAATTGATCTTTTGCTTCACTATAATTACGGACAGTATGAGATTGAATACTAGTTGAGATGATAGCAGGAGGGCGGAGGTGGATACAGGCAGATAAGAGTTGCCCCAAGAAAAAAGAAGGTTGTTTAAGCCTAGCATGAGGCCTATGAACATGGACAAGCTTAAGATTCCGGAAGTGAAACGAGTGAAGGGCTTTCTTTGAGTGCATTTGAACAGATAGTAAGGGAGGAAAATGGGAAAGAAAAGGAGAGGGAATCCTGCAGACTGAACCCATGTGGAAACCCATTTGCTGGAGCCTTTGTGGTTGAAATAGTACTTTGAGAGCAAGCTTGATGATACAGAACCCACAAATAGGCACGTATAATTGATGAATAAGAGAAACATATACCGCTTCTTTGAGATGCCCTTTTGGTCTTGTCCATTATTATCATGGAATTGGTGGTGGCTGGTAGTGTTGTTGTTCATGGCCGGCTATATGTTAGTGATGGGAATTAATGGTGTGATAAAATATGTGTATGTATCAGATGTCGTTGTTGCTGCTGCTGATGAGTAGCGCGCTACTTGGATGGTGGTGGTTTTAAGACTACTAATGCTTCAGGTGTGTTTTTGAAGAAAGGGTGATCAGACCTCCGTTAAAAAGGAGTTGGGAACTAAAATCTTTGTCTTTTTAAGGTTATTCCAAGGATAGATTTATTTTTGATGCACAGTATATAATTTATATATTATAAATGAATCGGATTATATTATTTTATTATTGAAATGATTCAGATGATAACACTTTATTAATGAGTAAATTATTTATAAAATATTAATTTTTATATATTTATTTTAAAAATTGATATTTATACATTAATTATATATTATCATCTTATTCACTACGAGTATATAAAATTTATATAATAATGTATTAAATATAAATTCTTTAATTATATGTACATCTACAAAACAAAAGATTTTTTTGTTTTAAAAAAGAGAGATTATAATTTTGTTTTTTAAATAAAAGATCATACACCAATAACTTTTTTTGTATAAAATGATAGATTCTATTCATTAAATTTGATTACAATCCTCTTGTACACATTAAGGTATTACACTAGGGTAATCTTCAATCCAAAATTCACTCTCTTCTAATTGCAAACCAAGTTTTGCTACGTCTTGTATGTGAAATCAACATATGACTGAAATAAAGTCATCTTTGCCTCGGCTTCCTCTATAATCATTCCAATAGGCGACATGTCTACTTCTGCAGATATAAGCTTCTTGATAATCCTTAGGGCATCACCTTCAACCCTCAACCAAAATCCAGCGCTTAAACTGCTGCATATGCTTCTATACTAAAAGGATCTCTAACTTCACATATTCTAATAGAAACAGCCCCAAATACTTCCCCTGTGAATTCCTTATCACCACCCCTGCCGCTCCTTTGGTGCTATTACCATCCAATGCTTCATCAAAGTCTACTTTAAAACTTCCACTGACAGGCAGTGTCCATTTTTTAGAAATGCAGCATTGGTTACTGTGTTTGATTTGATTATTAAGTGACAGGCAGTGTCACTTTTCATTATTGTGCAGCCGGAGGATAATTATTATTAAGGAAAACCTAATTTAGACATCTGATTTACAAAATGTAAAGGCACAGAAAATAAATTTATACTCACCTTTTCTTCTCTGTATCCCAGTTGTTAACTCATTAATTGAACCCCTGCTTTAGGTGTCTCTGCAAAATTACATCTGACCTATTTCCAGGCAGGTGCGCCGATGCTGGCTGACAATGGCATATGTTGCATTGATGAATTTGACAAAATGGATGTCAGAGATCAGGTAATGTTCATATTGTCTCACTGGAGCACAGTGTTTACTTTCAGAAGTATCTGGTGTCTGATATGCAATTCTATGTGAAGGTTGCAATTCATGAAGCCATGGAACAACAGACCATAAGCATTACTAAAGCTGGGATACGAGTTACATTAAATGCCATGCTATCGATTCTAGCGGCAGCAAATCCTACCAGAGGGCGTTATGATAAGTCTAAAGCATGAAAGTTAGAGCATTCCCATACTGCATAGAAATCTATTAAGTCTGATTTAAATAGGCATTTGCAATCTTTTTTCCCCAGTTTTTCAGTATTTGATGCTGGTTATAAGTTTGATATATTCTCTTGTAAACAGATAGCTATGCTATGTTTCTTCCTCTCCAGTATAATGTTGCTCTCCCTCCAGCTATTCTTTCTAGGTTTGATCTGGTATATGTCATGATCGACGACCCAGATGATCAAACTGATTACCATATTGCCCACCATATTGTGAGAGTTAACTAGAAACGTAAAGATGAACTTCATCCTGCATTCACTTCTGCACAATTGAAGCGACACAATATATATGCAAAAACTTTTAGACCAAAGGTTTCTGCGCAACCTTTCACTGCATAGGATATGGTTATTTTTCATTGCCTTTGCGAAGCTAAATGGCGAAATGCAGCTATCCTCAGAAGCAAGAAAACTCTTGGTTGAGTCTTATGTTGCAATCAGACGAGGTGACACAACTCCTGGCAGCAGCAGAATTGTGTACCGCCGAATGACAGTTAGGCAGCTGGAGGCATTAATCTGGTTGTCTGGGGCCATTGCTCGGAGTTATTTGGAAACTCAGGTGCTTTGTCTAGAAAAGCCTATCTAACATTTTCTTTCGTTGTTATTTTTATGCACCTTGGAGTTAGAAAAACAGTTCTTTTGTAGGTACAACCTCGACACGTTCGCGTAGCTGTTAGGTTGCTGAAAACATCCATAATAAGGTAACTTTTATAGAATCCTGAATGTTCTTCTCCCAACTTTTCTGTCTCCTTTTTTACTTTTTGAGATAGTATCTTTCTTCACCATGCAGTGTGGTGTCCACTGAGATTGATTTGTCAGAATTTCAAGAAGGAAATAGTGATGGTGCTGATGATAGAAATGATAATTCTGGCCAAGGTGGTGCTCAACCAGCTGAGCCAGCTTCTGGGAGTACACGTAGGACTATATAAGCTGTGTTACTTGAATCTCTTTCTTTCCATAAACACTTGATTTGAGGATAAAAATGAACTATTATCATTCTGAAAATGGAGTAGGTTCTACCAATCAACAAAAGGAAGAATATAAGGTAAAGGAAGGTTATATTATGAGGGTTACTCAAGCCCTTGTCATGCGACTTACACAGCACGAAGAAGGTTTAAAGCAAGCAGGTAAAACCTTTCATTTTTTTGCAATTCTTACCGAAACATTGGAATGAATATTTTTGTTTAAAATTTTCTTATCAGCTTTGCCTGAAATTTGCTTCTTCGAAACTGCAAGATCAAGATGCTGTAATGATGTAGTCTATATTGATTCTTAGTTATCATGTTTGCTAAACTACCCAGCCTTTACAGCCATGCAAAATGGATAGATTACAGGATCCATTATCTTGAAATTGAAGCAATTTTATCTTTTGCAGAGACTGGCTGGTTGGAATGAGTCAGGGTGACCTAATTCGGTGGCATGTGAATCAGCAGAATGAGAAAAACAACTAAAGTTCCACTACGGAAGTAGAAATAGAAATTAAACGAATAAGATCACTTTTGAGGAAAAACAACTAGTATTTTTATTTTTTAATTACCTTTTACTGTATTTCAACAATTATGATGATTTTATTTATTTCCTAATAGTTCTGTGTGATGCAGAGATCGATTAGGAGGGAAGGCCACTTGGTTGTGAAGTTGTGATAGATGATGGTAGGCAATTGCAAGAAGAGGGTGAAGGTGCAGCACGATCAGCTAGAGATAGCAGGATTTTAGCTGTGGCCCCTAATTATGCCATGGATTAATGTGAAATTTCATTACAACTACAAGCCAATGTGAAAATGCGTTATCGGCTCTGCTTGCATGATTGGAAGATTGCTATGTTCAAAATACTTGCAATAAAACAGCTGTCAAGAGTTTAAAGTTTGACACCATCTGCGGGTGAGTGCTAGCTTTTGATTCACCAGCAACAACTTTTGCTTTGGCCAAGATGCACAAATCAGTTATGTGAATTGCTGTTTACTGACTCTGCTGTTGTAATTCAAGATATTGGTGTTTAAGTGGGTGGCTTGAGTAAGGTTATTAATATTTAGATCAAATTATCAAAGACTGTAATATATCTTACCTAATTCATGGGTGCATTTGCCTTGTTTTAGATTTTTCAGTCAAATATTAATGTGATCTTAGTTACCAAGTTGTGGTTTGGCTGTAAACTATTTCCTTTCTGTTCTTTTTTTTTTTTTTGGGGGGGGGGGGGGGGTGTTAATTATGTGTATTTAACAAGGATTTCCTTTCACGTAACACTTTCTTGGTGAAGAAGATTAATTTCAACCTTGACTCCAGTAGTCCAGCAACTTTATGGTCGGGAAACACAGCAACAACAAGCATTTTTGCAAATGGTATCAAATGCTTCAATTCAAAGGCAATAAAATAGGAAATAGACAATGGAAAACCTACATACCAGTTAGCAAATAGAAATTTTATTAAGGTCTAATGACTCCCCTAAATCCAGATTTTATAGCAGTAATTTATTAACATTGTCTTTTACATCTTCATTTCATAAGATACAGAGCTCTGCATCCTTTCTGCATAATGCCTGTACTTGCTAATTAAGGTTATGGCAGTTGTTCGCCCAGGAAATATATTATTTATACAACATTGGATGAAGATATATGGGAATGATGCCGATTGATAATGTTTAAGGAAGGTAATTACTATTAGTATTCTCATCAAATACTAACTATAAGATATTACAATCCCAAGCACCCGACCCGTAATTCTCATTAAGTTGGCTAACAAGGAAGCCCTACCATTAAGTAATTGGTAATGTATGTGTTAAACTTGTCTCCTACTCTTTGGTTTTGCTCATACACAAATTATGGCCAAGCATTCCCATGTACATTTTCTGATTCTCGAGTTAATGATAATTATAAAAACCCCTCTCTCAATTTGTATAGGTGTATATATATATATATATATATATATATATATATATATAATTTTTAATCTATCCTTTATCCTTTACTTTATGTTTAGATAAATATTAATAAAAGAAAAAAAAAAGAAAGGAATAGAAAGAGTACATATATCTCTTATTTAGATAGTTAAAATTAATAAATAAAAAATAAATAAAAGAAAATAAATTTTAACAACTATTGATTAGATATAGTGAAAAGAGAATGAAATAATTTATTATGATATTTTTTTCAATTATAATTTTTTTTAATAAAATAACGTATAATATGCAAATATATTTTTATACTATCTAACTTGTATAAATAAATCTTTTTAAACTAAATTGAGTATGTTTAATATGATAAGATATATTAGTTAGTTATTGATTTATTTTTAATTTTGTGTATAATTCAATCTTTTTAATTTATTCTGACAATAATTTAGATTATTTTATTGTTAAGACTTAAAAAATTATAAAATATTTTTAAAAAGTGATGTTATATAAAATACTAATAAAAAGAAATTATTTTTGTAAAAAGTATCGGTTATATAATCAAATTTAATATTATAATAAAAATATGGATACAAAAGTCTTCTCATAAAAATAAAAAATTTTTTAATTTTTTTCTTTATTTTTTCTCTAAATTGAGGTATTAAAAAAGTGAAGATTACAAAGGAAATAAAAAGTTATTGGGTTTTCACCTCTTTACTTTTTTTTTAAATTAAAAGTTTATCTAAATAAAAAAATTATT